CCGCCACGAGGTGGTGCCAGCCGCTCTCCAAGTGCTGCAGAGAAGCAGCAGAAGGCACGAAGGGACAAAAAGAAGAAACAGAAGTGACACAAGTCTTTGCTGCTGCTCGGCTGCGCGGCCGCGCAAGGACTCCTGCAACAGCAAAGGTATACAGACACCCGACTCCCAAACCCTAAACCCTAAACCCTAAACCCTAAACCTTAAACCCTAAACCGAGAAGCACAGCACGCAGCAACAAATGCAACAAGAACCCACGAAGCAGCCACAGCTCAGAAGAGGGAGCTGGACTCCGAAGAGAAACAAACAAGGCTGAAAATGCAATGGCAGCAGCAGAAGCAACAGCAGCACAACAAACCAACAGCAGCAGAAGCAGCAGCAGCACTACCAGAAGCAGCACCAGTAGCAGCCACAGCAATACCAGAAGCGGTAGCCACAGCAATATCAGCAGCAGCAGCAGAAGCCGCAGCCGCCAAAGCAATCCCAGCAGCAGCAGCAACCACACCAACACCAGCAGCAGCAGCCACAGCAAAACCAGGCGCAGCAGCCGCAGCAACACCAGCAGCCGCAACAGCAGGACTACTGCGCGTGCTGCTGCTGCTGCTGCTGCTGCAGCAACAGGCGCAAAGCGTGGGGCCGCACCTAAAGTGCAGCAGCGGGGGTCAGCAGCTAAAAAGGCGCCGCCGCTGCTGTTGCCAGCCAAGGCGTGGAAAGCTCCAGTTTGCTGCAGCGGCAGTTTGGCCCAGCAGGCCAGAGTGAAGCCCTGGGGGCTGAGAGGCAGCGGGGGAACTAGGTGCAGGCTGCCCCGCAGCGCTTTGCTGCTGCTGCTGCTACTGCTGCTGCTGCTGCTGCTGCTGCTGGCAGCCCGGCCCAGCGCCGTGTCCCACGCAGCCAGCTGCCCGTTGGGGGCCTCCACGAAGTCCCCCAACCCCACAACCATCAGCTCGTGTCTCTTTGCTGCTGCTGCTGGCAGCAAATCAACATACTCCCCGTCGGACAGCACCTGCAGCAGCAGCTGCGGCGGCCGCTCCTCTGCTGCTTCAACTTCCCGGGGCGCCAGCACCAGCTCCTCGCTGCTGCTGCTGCTCCCCTTGCTCTCGCTGCTGCTGCGCCGGCTCCCCTGCTTGCTGCTGCTGCTGCTGCTGCTGTTGCTGCCCCGCGCCACCGGCACCTGCGAACCTGCGTAGGAAGACCGCCCAGCAGTCAGCGCGTACCGCAGAGGATAAGCTGCAGGCACAGCCACAACCGCAGCAAACACACACCTGCAGCAGCAGCAGTTGCTGCAGCAACGCTACATCCAGCAGCAGCAACAGCAGCAGCAACAACGCTTCCAGCAGCTGCAGCAAAAACGACGCTACGAGCAGCAGCAACAACAGTGACGCTATCAGCAGCAGCAGCAGCAACAAAGCTGTGAGCAGCAGCAGCAGCAACAAAGTTGTAAGCAGCAGCAGCAGCACCAGCGCAATAGTAAAAGCGGCAGCAGCGGCAGCGCAATAGCGGGAGTGGCAGCAGCAGCAGCAGCAGCAACAGCAGCAGCAGCGGAGGGCTACTCGTGTAGTCGAAGGAGACTTCTTGGGGCCTAAAGGGTTTGGCGTAAACCCTCAAGTGGGCAAAACCCCCGAAGGGTTTGCTGCCCGAAAGAGAATTGCCAATGTACTTAATCGGGGCCCAAGACACCCTAGGGACAAGTCCCCTGGGGGCCCCATCAAGGTAGAAGGCCATGCTGCCAGCTCTATCTTCTGTTGCTGCTGCTACTGCTGCTGCTGCTGCAGGCGATGTCCTCCCTGCTGCTGCTGCTGCGCGTGACAGCGGCGGCGCTGCAGCAGCAACCACGTGCAGCAAATGCCAGCCCTCGCTTTCAAGGGACAAGTCCAGTCCTGAGGGATAATATTCTCTGGAGATGCCATCGGACTGG